ACACACACACAGACAGCCTCTCGACAATATGCGTTTTTGCTGGCTGCAGCAGCGCTATAGCAGCGCAGCAAAAACGCATAAAAAAGGGATAAATTCAAAAAATAAAGACCAAGAAACAGAAACTAACGGAATGACACGCAAGAATTTATGAACTACCAATTATTGAACCGTAGAAATGTTTTCATCTCCACATAATTCCGGAAAAACGAAGACCAGAGTGTTATTCGATTTTAGGGAACCTTTTCCCAGACTGTTACAAGGCCGATTTGCAAATCGACCTGCATTTTACGTATCGATGTATGGCCTCAAATCCAAATTTAAGCTAATTTCACAACTCGAGAGCGAGCATAAGTCGCAAACTGAAAATTTCGAGGGCTTAGCTCACTAAGCAGTGCCGGGTGATTAGTCTAAAATCGGCTTCCAAGTCTCCTTGGAAATTGTCCGATGACTGCGAGTCTAAGCTGAGGCTGATGCTACAACTCGAGAATGAATACCTTTACAAGCTTGAGATGCTGGTGCTTAATTTCTGTGTTCGGGGCCTAGTATTTTGGAATAAATTGGAAGCATATTTTAATTACACATCTCCATCTACAGTTCATCGTCTGCACTCTGTACTTGTCCACCTCTTCGCTGGTTATTGCCTCCTTGCGGGTACCAATCACTAATACGAGTACCTACTGCCACTAGCAAAGTAAGGGGTACATGGCAACGATCAGCGTGATACTAGACAGTACTTAGCAATAAAGGAGGACTTGTGAAATACTCTTTTGCTAATTTTTTTTTTAACGAGCGAATCCCAACTTTTTATCAGTAGTGGATGCAAGATGTTTTGGAGCATACATCCTGAAAAAACATCTTTATTAAAAAATTATTCCATTTTTATTAGAAATTTGTCACAAACTGTACTGCATAATCGGGCCATGCACTAGCCTTCCAAGGCTCCCTTCTATCCGCCGCAGTTTTTAAATTGCTAGGCCATCAAAAGTTTTCAGGATGCGAAAACAGGTAAGCCGTTGATTAGCTGGATGTGCGCTAATGTGCAGTGCGAGCTGCAACTTATGGATCGTTTCACGGATATCACATCTTGCGCTGATTTGGTTGATCCGCTTCGCCGTTCGCTGTTGCCGTCGTTTTTGCATACCTGGCCATCTTTTGTTGGATTTCCTCCTTCAATTTTGAATGTTGTCCCACAAGCATCGGTGGTCGATTTGCCTGTACGACCTTGTTAGTTTTTAATCACTTTCTGAAAACGATTTCAAAATGCTATGCTTCGTTGTGGAACTATTTTCCTACCTTTCGAAAGAGCAGGCCTGTCAATCATACTTTCTCAGTTTATGCAAGTCGCAGACCAGAAACCAACTCTTTTCTGCTCTAGGTCCGCCGTCAGGCGGTTTTTATGCGTTTTTGCCGTGCAGCGCTATAGCGCTACTGCTAGAGCTAGCAAAAACACATATTGTCGAGAGGCTGTGTGTGTGTGTTCGGAAAGCGAGTGCATTTTGTCACCCACTTTCATCTCAGCAACCAGGAAGGCTGGGAGGTTGAAACTTTGGATATATGTTCCTACCCCGTGTGTCATCCTCCCGTTTTAAGTTCTTTCCCCACACGCGTCTAGACCCCGCGTACAGGACCTCCAAAGAAATTTGTTGGCGGGAAACGATTTCGCGAACTAGGCAACTTAGAAAGCTGAAACTTTGCAAGGATATTCTCTATGCACGTGCGAGATAAAAATTTTAAACTCAACTCTCTAGCTCCCCAACCACTGCCTCAAGCAGCTGCTCTACTCAAAAATTGTTAGCAACTCGGACCTGAACCGCAATTGTCTATGCAAATGAACAT